CTGACTTCTCCCCCAGCCCTCCTGCGCTCCACGCCCTCGCCTCCCGGGTCCCCGCGGGGCTGACCTCGGCCCTGCCTTCATCCTCCCAGCCTTGGCCGCAGCCGCTGTCTCTCGCTCCCTCTGTCTTCCCATCCCTCTGCCCGCTCCGGTTGCCCATTCCTCCCCCTCTCCTCCGGGCGTTGGGAAGCCTTTCCTGTCCCTTGTCTGCCATCCCTGCTACCTAAGCCTGAGTCCCACCTGCAGTGAGAGGCCCCGGGGCGGGGCGGGCGTCTCTGAGACACCTGGCGCTCCAGTGTCTGTGTGACATTTCCTGGGGCGTGCATCAGGGATCGTGTCCACTTTATAGGCCATTCTTCTCATCTCAGCTTTAATACTTCCTCTTTATGAGTTTGTTGGCTTCCAGGAACCCTCTGGGAGAGACTGTGCCGAGTTGGGAGTGTGCCAGGGGTAGCCGGAGGCCCTCATCCAACTCCTTTCCCCTTCCAGGAAACGGGATTCTGTGTCTTTTCACTTGGGATACGTGGAGCACGTTCGAACCGTGATCCTCTCTTTTCTGGCCGCCACCTTTCACATTCTGCCCTGTCCCATAGATCTAAGAAAAATCTCCAGAAAATTACGCCCCAGAGAATGCCAGTACCTTTTACCTTAGTACTGGCTCCAGAACTTTTTCTGTTAAGAGTTTTGAAATTGGTTCCTGGCCTGCTAGCCCCAGGCTATCAGCATGCATCCTTTTGATTACTGGTGGCTTGAACCAGCTGCCGATTTTCTCCTGCGTATCTTCCACTAAATGTGCTTGTTATGCTAGTCACTGAGTTGGTCCTCTTGGAATCTCTTCTCCCTCCTTTTTCCTAGGGAGCGAAATTTCCTGTGGATATGAGAGGGAGGCTGACACTGCACCTCTTTTCTCTGGGGTGCTGGCTTTGGTGTCTGCCTGGGGAGGTTTTGGGTCTGGTCTTTGAGGGTCACACTCTCTTTGAGCCCAAATGGGCTGCAGCATTGGTACCAGCACTGGCAGCCTTCAGGAGCTGAGATGAGAGCATAAACCGGCTTGGCTGGACCTCCCTCCTCCGCCTGCTGCTTCTGTAGGACCTCAGGTGTCCTGTCATTGATCAGGTCCCCTTCCACTGTCCCCCAGCCCCCTCTGTGTAGCACTTTGGGGGATTTGGGCAGAATGGATCAGAAGCATCCCTCTGGGGTTTTAATGGACTGCTCTAGAGAGATTGAGTGTTTGGTAGTAATTTGGTCCAGTCTCTGGCTCCCAGGAGAGATTTTTTTACCTGATTCTCTTGAGAAGTTTGCTTCTCCTACCTTTTTTTTTTTTTTTTTTTTTTTTTTTTCCCC